GTGGAGCATGGAGGTGTCGCCCTTGGTCCCCGTCCACTTCACATGCGGAGAGAGGTTGCCGGTGATCGCTGTGGTTGACAACGGATTGTGCACCCGCACGGCGTGGTGCATCGCGTACGTCCAGTAAATCGGCGGAAGCTTCGACTACTTCATTAGCACGCGCACCTTCGTCATGAGCGTACAGTTGGTACGCTCGACTATGCCCTGCTGCTGATGCGCGTAGGGGAGAGAGATGTGGTGTTCGATCCCCTTCAGCACAAGGTAATCCTGCAGCTCCTTGCTACTGAACTCCGCTGCGCCGTCAGACTGCCAGATCTTTAACTTCTCCCCAGACTGCCTCTGCGCGTGTGCCAGCCAGAGGCGAAACACCTCGTATGCCCTGCTGCGAGCCTCCACGTTTACGACCCACACGTATCGTGTTCCAACGTCGACGAAGGTAAGCGTGTACAGCTCGTCGTTGATCCCGCAGTGTCCCACGTTGAGGAAGTCGCTGTAGACTTTCTCCAGTTTGGCGTAGCGGTTGGTTCCAGGTTCGAGCAGGGGGAAGGGCTGGTGACTCAGCGCGGCCTCGGGGCAGACGGTGTAGGTGCGCGGATGCGTTCCGCCTCTCACTTCGGAGCCGTCAGGGCGCAGGAGTGCGCCAGGTGCGAATACGCCAGCTTTGATGCAGTTCTCCGACGCGCGAGGGGTGGCCGAGGCGCTCCCCTTCTGCTCAAGGTAATCCTGCAGCTCCTTGCTCATGAACTCCGCTGCGCCGTCAGACTGCCAGATCTTTAACTTCTCCCCAGACTGCCACTGCGCGTGTGCCAGCCAGAGGCGAAACACCTCGTATGCCCTGCTGCGAGCCTCCACGTTTACGACCCACACGTATCGTGTTCCAGCGTCGACGAAGGTAAGCGTGTACAGCTCGTCGTCGATCCCACAGTGTCCCACGTTGAGGAAGTTGCTGTAGACTTTCTCCAGTTTTGCGTAGCGGTTGGTTCCAGGTTCGAGCAGGGGGAAGGGCTGGTGACTCAGCGCGGCCTTGGGGCAGATGGTGTAGGTGCGCGGATGCGTTCCGCCTCTCACTTCGGAGCCGTCAGGGCGTAGGAGTACGCCAGGTGCGAATACGCCAGCTTTTATGCAGTTCTCCAGCGTGACGCGTGAGGGATGGCCGAGGCGCTGGTGCCAGAGCGCATCGTCGGCGCGGAACCCAGAGGTGCGCATGTAGCGCGCGCGTGTTTCTTCAGGGTCTTCATCAGGAGCTGGGGCAGGTGCTGCTGCTTCTTCTTCTTCTTCGCCGGTGCCCGTGGTTAGCATTAACGCGAGGAATTCTCTGTCGCGAATGATATAGTAGGGGATGGTGGTCCCAGGGATTGTCCCAAGGACTAATATTGGTTCGCGCGCCTCGGGGGCAGGCCCGTAGACCGAGCGTCGCGGGGTAGAGGGCTCGTTGCCCCAGTCGATGGTGTCCCAGGGGTCGCGCTGCGGCTGCACATCAGGTGGAGGTAGTACAGGTGCAGAGCGGCGCGGTGGGCGACCAAGAGGGACAATTGCAGCTTATGCTGTTGCTTCTTCTGCTGCTTCTTCTTCTCCCCCCCTTTGGTCCTCGCGGGAGGCTCCCCAACCTTCACCAGAAGTGCCCCAGCCGCCTTTTTCGCCGCCAGATACGGCGCCCCATCCGCCAGTGTTACTTGTTCCCCATCCGCCAGTGTTTCTTGTTCCCCATCCGCATTGTTTCCCCACCCCCCTTCATTGGAGGTGCTTTCCTCGTCGTTCTCCCAGGCGAGTGTTCTGTGTGACTCGGCGAGGCTTTTCTGTCGAAGCTCCTCAGCTTCGCGTCGCGCCAATTCCTCTTCTTGTGCCACCGTGAGTTTCGTCTTCGAGTCGCGCAGGTGAGAGTATATCTCCACTGCCTTTTCCTTGGTGTAAATCCGCAAGTTTCTCCATATTTTGCAGTAGAGGCGCCGCGGCCGTCGCTCTTCCGTATTGTCGGCGTAGAAGGCGAGGCGTTCCCTGTCTCGTCGCGGCGCTGGTCGCTGCTGGTCCATATCCCGTTGTTCGACGAGGAGGGCGGCGCAAAGGGCGGCCTCCGAGATGACCCCCTGCTGTCGGAGAAGCGCCTTGCAGGGCCGCCACTCTGGGCCGAGCCCTTGAAGCACGATGTTCATGAGGATTTTCTCGGAAATGTTGCTTCCTAGTTTCGCGATTTGGTCGCGGAGGCTCCGACGGCGATTGATGTAGCCGTTGACCTTTTCCCCGGTGACCATTTTTGTCTCCAGTAGCTGTTGGAGCAGGCGGCTCGAAGAAACCGAGTCCTTCGGTTGGTAGACCCCGTTGAGGTGGCGCCAAGCGTCGAGGGCAGGAGCAGCCGTAGTCTTGTACGATCGAATGTTCAGCTGCTCCGCCGGCGACATGTTGCACAGTAGGACCCCGTACGCCATCACGGACTCGTAGTACTTTGCCCTGGCGTCGTCGGTGTCTTCAGTGGGTCCCGAGTAGCTCCCGTCGAAATAATGGAAAATCTGTGCGTTTTGCAGTAGCAGCTCCAGCTCGAAACTCCGGGTATAAAAATCTCTGCCATCAAAGCACACACTTATCTCTAATTTTTATATGCTAAAAAACCTTGATTGCGCAGAGAGAATTGCCTCTTCGCTGGGACGGGGAGTCTTGGGTGTTGAGCCATTTGTGTCGAGGGAGAAGGTGTGCGGGGCAGAATTTTGGCCATTCGAGGCCGGTTGAGAGGGTTGAGAAGATGTTCCCGCATCGCCATTCCGCAATGTTTGAAGTCCTTGCTCCAGGATTGTGAGTCGCTGAAGCAGTTGTGCGAGGACGGCGGGAGGAATCGTCGTCGTTCCTCGCTTGTCGCAGCCGGGTTGGGCTGCGCTTCAGCCGTCAGATTCATCTGACCTCCAGATCCTCCGACCATTCTCACAGGCGAGCGTGTGCCGGACGCCACTTTTCGTTCGCCGAAATTTTCGGAGGTGGCAGTGCGAAGGATTCCCGAGTCGCTCTCATACCATGCTGCGATCAGAAGTTGATCGAACTCAGGATCACCTCAGGAAGGTTCGCACAGGACTTAACTAGTGGTGGTGGGCCCTTGACCTCAATAGCAGAGTGAATGTAAATGCTTGAGATGATAAAAACATGCAAATATAGCACTATCAATAAGAGTACAGGGGAATACCAATCGACCTAGCTAGCCATGTACTCTAAGGGGTACATTCCCTTATTACAGCGAATTCCAACCGTACGACTCCAGACAGTTACGAAACCTGTACGAGCAGAATCCTCGCCACTGCTGCTGTCTGATGCTGTCTGCCCGACGGTCCAGATGCTATCGTAACTGTGCGGCGTTTCGCGTCACTTCCGCCCTTTCGTCTTCAGCCTCGGTAGTGCGTGTTTCGTTTGCTGCGGTGAGGAGTGCAAAGTAATGTTTCAGTAATTACTCTTCGTAACACTAGAACAACGGAACGGAACATACTAGCTGTTGGAAATAAGAAGTCGCTAGAGCGCAGCGGAAGCTCTAGGAATCATCGACGTCCCTACGGCGGGGCTATTGGTCACTCAGAGGTAGCTCTCCTGGCTTGTAACATGGTGCCAAAGCAGCGGCCGAGGGTAGGCCGGACACAAGCTTGAGAATTGTGTAATATGAGCAAGGCATTACATTCTGTTATATAGCAAACGCATAGGGCAAACAGTTACCAAGGCGCAACTGTATAACAGTTGCGCTGCGTCGCTTGGGTTGCCTTGTTACAGTCGCACTGGCGAGACTTTTCAGCTTCGGCAAGGGCGCGGTATCCTTCCGCGCCCCACAGGTCAGTTTCGCGTACTGTAGACGATGACTCCTGCTGTCGATTCGACTCTTGAGCTGCCACGCGGGTCGCAACCGCTGTGCTCGGTTGCGGCCCGTTGACTCGCCATCAGGTTCAAATCCCTCGCTATGGCGAGCCCTTGTAAGCACACTTCGAACAGTGCACTTATAATAAAAGCATACAAACATATTCTCAACACTCCCCTCCACTGTTAGAAGTGTAGAAACGAGGAGAGCTGCAATCTTGCCGGGTTGAAGTTGTGAAGTCCTTGCTAGGGACTTTGCTGTAACTCCTTGAAATTCGTCTTGCTGAGTCGCCCAAAATGATGCGACGGTGCGTTGAAGATTTCCTCCACGTAGTGCTCCGTGGGAAGTGGCAGGTCGAACCTGCTCCAGAAGATGCTCCTGGTGATGATTCAGGTGGTGGGCCCATTTGTAGAAATTATCACAGGTTCCAAGGATTGGAACTCTTGCTCGTGATACCATGTTGGAAATAAGAAGTCGCTAGAGCGCAGCGGAAGCTCTAGGAATTATCGACGTCCCTACGGCGGGGCTATTGGTCACTCAGAGGTAGCTCTCCCGGCTTGTAACATGGTGCCAAAGCAGCGGCCGAGGGTAGGCCGGACACAAGCTTGAGAATTGTGTAATATGAGCAAGGCATTACATTCTGTTATATAGCAAACGCATAGGGCAAACAGTTACCAAGGCGCAACTGTATAACAGTTGCGCTGCGTCGCTTGGGTTGCCTTGTTACAGTCGCACTGGCGAGACTTTTCAGCTTCGGCAAGGGCGCGGTATCCTGCCGCGCCCCACAGGTCAGTTTCGCGTACTGTAGACGATGACTCCTGCTGTCGATTCGACTCTTGAGCTGCCACGCGGGTCGCAACCGCTGTGCTCGGTTGCGGCCCGTTGACTCGCCATCAGGTTCAAATCCCTCGCTATGGCGAGCCCTTGTAAGCACACTTCGAACAGTGCACTTATAATAAAAGCATACAAACATATTCTCAACACTAGCAAGGGTTGGGTACAAATAGCTAACTCTAACAATGTTGTACTCCCTATAGCATGCCTCACTATAGCCTATCACAACATTTGACGTATCATCAAGTTGTAGAACACCACCACCCTGTTCAGTTTAGACCGTACCATAGTATGTGCAGCAATCATTCATGTACGATACGGTAAGAACATCCGCTTACTACAACAATCACCATCTACACCACACTGACATGAGACAGCCAGACTGGTGTGGTATTAGCAAAAACACACCAACACGCAGCATTAGCTCAACACCTGGTCACATCTGCTGGGTCTGAACTCAATCCCAGGCTCTAGAAACTATCAACTAAATCAGGAGAAGACCAGGCCCCTAGATTCGTTTTGAGGTAGTCTGAGGCCTCAGAGTACACCCCTCCTGGAACTCTGTCTGTCAGAGGTGCCTCAAAATTTTAGTCTGAAAATTCAGACAAGCACAATTTTTTTTGTCTGAACTGTCAGAGTTACTTCAAATTTTAAGATGTTCATGCAGTTTCGTAAAAGCAGTTATAATAGCATTGAGGCTGATTACAGCCTACCATACCAACGCATCAGGCAACGTGCTCGTGCTCGTGCATCGCCTTTGCTCATGTCGGCGGCGTTCCAGTGTTTTTGTCACGTGCAGCGCATGGTTGTTTCTGCTCTGCTGATCTCATTTCGTTTTGTCGTGTGTGTGATTACCGTTCTGTACCCATTTTCTCGCATGTGTGCCGATTTTGTCAGTTTTGGATTTGCTTTTCAAGCGATTCGATCGTTCACCCGATCTGTATCAGGTGGGCCAAGTGCCACGCAGCTGAACTGGCAGCAGGCAGAAACTGTTGCTTGGCGTGGCATGTGAGGATCAGACAGTGCCACACGAAACTTTCAGTACGAATCAGGAACTTCGCAATTCACACCAGTGCGTGCTGCAGATGTTTTTACAGCGAATCAGCATCAAAGTCGCTTATTCTTTACAATACATTAGCGATAACTTACATGTGACGAGATTTTGTCTTCAGAAATCTCGTAATCACGCAACCATTTCCTCAGCGTAACTGGAAGATATTCTCGACGAACGAGTGTATTTGGATGTCCCAGCTGTCGAAGTGAGCGTTGCTCACGTCCTGGCACTCCACTGCCATCTCGGAAGTGGGCATATCGGAAGGAAACTTCTAGGAAACTTTGCTCCGATAAGCGCGCAGAGTGTACCCCCGATACAAGTCTGGGGCTCAGCCTACCTAGTAAAATTAGGCTGAAATTTCAGACAACTCATAAGAAAAAACTCTGGAAAATCAGACAAGGTACATAAATAAATTCTTTGAGTTCAGACTAGGTACAAAAAAAAAGTCTGAACGGACTCTGATTCAGACTCCAAAGTCTGATATCTAGGGCACTGGAGAAGACGACGACCTTCTCATCCGCGCCGTAGCGCACCCAGTTCCCTCCGAACGCCCAGTTCTCGTACCCGCCATTGCCAAGATTCTCCACAGAGAAGGGGCCCTGCTTGTAAAACACCTTGAACTCGGAGTTATCCCAGAAGTGCCACACCTCCACCTGCGCGGACGCCGGATCGCCCTGCACGGAGTGGGCGCTCTGAATGACCATCACGTTGTACCCCGCGTTCATGAATATCTTCACGATCTTCGTCGTCACCTCGTCGTCCTCTGGACCGTCGATCGTGCCCAGGCTGCCGGCAATGATCTGATCAACGGTCACCCCGTCCCAGCTGAACAGCTTCCGCCGCTCCACACTGTGCGGGGACACAACAGAATCCGCGTGGGCGAGCGCACGGCGGGCGAAGCTGCGCGACGCGCCGGTGGCGGAGGGGGATCCGTGAAGGGCGGGCCGCGTGGCGCTGGTGCTGGTGGCGGCGAGGAGCAGCAGCAAGGCGAGCGGAAGGGGAAGCAGATTGCGCTCTGCGTGGAGCCGCGCGCTGGTACTAGCAGCGGCCATGGGGAACCGGATTGATAGATTGATATCCTTCGGATCTCAGTGAAAGCCTTGGAAAGAAAGGTGCAGCGATGAAATTATGAGATTCCACGCGAATGAGTTTGATGAGCGAAGCACAGTCGCGGATTGACGCTGTGAGCAGCAGCCGTGGTCGGTATGCGCGATTGAAGGGATAATAGGGAAGCGAAGACGGAAGCTGTGATGACAGTGGTGAGGCTGAGCGACTAATTTATAGGCCGAGAAACGGAAGATTGGAACTTCAGTCGCACTCAGAGACGAGCGCGGCTTGCGACTCGCTTGAGCCGCCATGGACATTCCTGCGAACGGACTCACTCGCGACGCACGCGACGGGAAGGAACTATGGCGTGCGGGCTACGCTCGGACGTAACTGATACGCGACAATATAGTGGCGTTTCATCAGGTGGACAAAGCCTGCAGTCGTGGAAATAGCTAGTGCCCAAAGTAGTAGCTAGCAGCTAACTGGAGCAGCTAAGTGAAAAGCTGTTGGATGGGAGTTGGGAATTTCAGGAGGCGAGGTGAAGCGTGTGGTGGGGTGGAAGCGAGTGGCTTGGTTGGTCGTATCGCATGCTACACAAGCGAACCACTTCGAGTCTGTCCCTCGGTCGTACGTCGTTCGTCCGCTGGTCAACGAAATGGGCGATGGTTCGACTAATTTCGCAAAAAACTGGGATTTCCAATTTCCGAATTCGGGTTACTCAAAATCGCACGTGTGGGCTCGAGGCTCAAACACAGATACTCGAGTAGATGTGACCGTAGGCAAAACATACCAGAATTTTCCAGCAAAGCTTCAATGTAGATACGACCCTAGACACCTAGATACGACTTCAGACGCCTAAAGACGACGGCACCTAGGCACAGGGCAAGAAGAAGAGAAAAGGGAAGAGTGGTTGCATGTGACGATTCAGTCTGTCAAGGTTGACTCAGAAAGTGACTCCAAGGTAGGTGGCAACGGGTTATTTGTGGGTAGCGAGGGTGTGTTAGGTTTACACGAAGCTAGTTACGAGGCAGGGGTCATGGGAAGAGTGGCGCGAGTGGAGGCGAGGATGCGGATGAGCGGAGGCGCATGGCGTTCGCGGAAGGGAACGCGGCGCGAGAACGCAGTGGGGGGATGGAAAAGAGCGGCGCGAATACGGGCAAGGCACGGAACATGAAGGGCGGGAAGGTAGCCGGGGAACGGATTGGAAGGCGGAGGGTGGGACGGACAGCGAGAAGGCATGCGACGGAAGGGTGTGAGCGACGGAAGGGTGAACGATGGAAGGGTAATCAATGAAACGGTGTGAACGACGCGGAATTGAGGGGGAGGGAGGGCGGACGAAATGGATTACGGGATGGGAATGAAGGATGGGAAGGATGGGGAGGAATGGATGAAGGGATAGGAATGAAGGCCGGCAAGGCATGGGGGTTGTTAATGCGCAGCGCGCATTTAAGGTGGGAGGGGTGATGGACGGCGGAAAGGACTGGGATGGAGGGGTATGAACGGCGGGCACGGGGGGGGGAATGTGAGGCAGAAGGATGGGAGTGAATGCAAGGGGGGTTTTTTGGGGGGGGAGGGTTTGTTGGGGTGTGGGGGGAGGTGGACATGTGAGGGCGAGTGAGGGGAATGAAGGGGAGGAAGCCAAGGGGGAACAGGAATGCTTACCCTCTATTCCCCTCCCTGACTGCCTGCTGTTTCCCATCTACTTGTCATCCATTTCCGCCCTACTTACCCTCCTTTCCCCCTCTTCTTACCCTCTTTTCCCCGTCTACTTTCCCTCTTTTCCCCCTCTACTTACCGTCTTTTCCCCCTCTTCTTACCCACTTTTCCCGTGTTCTCCATCTGTTTATCCTCTTTTCCTCCCCTTCTTACCCTCTGTCCCTCCCTTGTCCAGCCTCTTTTCCCGTCCGATTTCTCTCTGTTCGCCCCTTGCAAAGTTCTCATCTCATAGTCCCTCACCCCCCTTCCTACGTGCCTAAATCCCGACCCCTGCAGACCACTCAGTAAAAGCAGCCGAGGGTTGGAAGCTGCAGCAAGCGAGCAAGCGACGCTCAGCTCCGGGCTTCCGTGTCGTGGGCAGCAGCAGCTGAGAGCTTTCAGAGAGCTTTCAAGTAGAGAAAGTGGCTCGGAGAGTGGCTCTGTGAGGTTGTGTCGTGTCGTGTCGGCGAGAGCTCCGTTGGAAACGGATGGACTGCGAGGTGAGGGGAAGCAGTGAAAAGTAGGCCGGAGATTGTTCTGAGCAGGTTAGGAGTCGAGGTGAGAGTGAGTGAGCACGTGGGTGGGCGGCACGGGGGGCGTGTGGTGTGGGCGGCATGAGGCGGCGGCCAGGAGTGGCGGGGCTGCAGACAGCAGCTGCCGTTCGGGGGCAGTACCGGTCGCTGGGGGAGGATGTGGCCAAGCAGCGCCAGGAGTCGCTGCGGCAACAACTGGAGACGTTCCGCGGCTTCCTCATGGAGTTTGCTCAGAAGCACAAGGTGTGTGGTGTGCTGTGTGATGCCTGCTCTGTGTGTTGCATCGCATCACTCACTGCTTGTGTTGGAGTCGCCTGTGAGAATTCTCAACAGTGATTCCCGCCCACCCACCCCACCTCCTCCCCTCCTGTCAGAGTGACATACGCGGCAACCCAGCGTTCAGGGCGCAGTTCCACGCCATGTGTGCACAGTGCGGGGTGGACCCCCTCGCCTCCAACAAGGGCTTCTGGAACGAGCTGCTGGGCTTCGGTGACTTCTACTACGAGCTCGGTGAGGCAATCGCTTTTGAGAATCCTCGAAAGTTATTTGAACTCGTGAGGCAACTCTTGAGTCGACTCTAACACCCCCCTGGTCTCCAACAAGGGCTTCTGGAAGAGCTGCTTGGCTTCGGTGACTTCTACTACGAGCTCGGTGCGACCCGCCTCACTCCCCTCACCCCTCTTCACCCCCCTTTACTCCGCTTCACTCCCCCTCACTTCGCTTGACTAGTGAACGAAAAAGAATCCGGTGTGTTTTTCTCTTCTCTCCTCTCCCGTGAGATTTCATTGCCACTGCCCTCCTCTCCTGTTCCAGCCTTCTTCTCCTGTTCCATCCCCACCTCCTGTTCCATCCCCACCTCCTGTTCCATCCCCACCTCCTGTTCCATCCCCACCTCCTGTTCCATCCCCACCTCCTGTTCCATCCCCACCTCCTGTTCCATCCCCACCTCCTGTTCCATCCCCACCTCCTGTTCCATCCCCACCTCCTGTTCCATCCCCACCTCCTGTTCCATCCCCACCTCCTGTTCCATCCCCACCTCCTGTTCCATCCCCACCTCCTGTTCCATCCCCACCTCCTGTTCCATCCCCACCTCCTGTTCCATCCCCACCTCCTGTTCCATCCCCACCTCCTGTTCCATCCCCACCTCCTGTTCCATCCCCACCTCCTGTTCCATCCCCACCTCCTGTTCCATCCCCACCTCCTGTTCCATCCCCACCTCCTGTTCCATCCCCACCTCCTGTTCCATCCCCACCTCCTGTTCCATCCCCACCTCCTGTTCCATCCCCACCTCCTGTTCCATCCCCACCTCCTGTTCCATCCCCACCTCCTGTTCCATCCCCACCTCCTGTTCCATCCCCACCTCCTGTTCCATCCCCACCTCCTGTTCCATCCCCACCTCCTGTTCCATCCCCACCTCCTGTTCCATCCCCACCTCCTGTTCCATCCCCACCTCCTGTTCCATCCCCACCTCCTGTTCCGTCCCCACCTCCTGTTCCGTCCCCACCTCCTGTTCCGGCCAATCTCTCTTGTAATTGTGTTACTTGATCTTGTGTTGGTTCCGCCCCCCTTTTCTCTTGTTCTGGGCCCCTTGGTCTGCTCAGTTCCCCCCTCCTCCTCATCTTCCACCCCCTGCAGGCGTGCAGCTGATAGAGACGTGCATGGCGACCAGGGCGGACAACGGGGAGCTGTTGCCATGCCATGCCATGCCATGCCATGCCATGCCATGCCATGCCATGCCATGCCATGCCATGCCATGTCATGTCATGTCGTTAATCCATGCTATTCCATGACGTCCACCCCTCCCCTCTCCCCCTTCCACTACCCCTCCTCCTCCCCTCCTTTTCCCCCTTCCCCTGCCGCTTCCCCTTTCCCCCCTCCCCAGGAGTGCAGCTGATAGAGACGTGCATGGCAACGAGAACAGACAACGGGGGGCTGATCAATCTGGAGGAGCTAAGGCGCCTCGTGGCAGGCAAGGTGATTCTTGAGTCGACTCAAAAGTCATCCCACCTTTTCCTTCCCCTTCCTCTTCCCCTCCTCCCTTCAGGAGTGCAGCTGATAGAGACGTGCATGGCGACGAGGGCGGACAACGGGGGGCTGATCAACCTGGAGGAGCTGCGGCGCCTCGTGGCGGGCAAGCGCCGCATGCCGCTGGACGCGCTGTCTCATGACGACTGCATGCGCGCGCTCGCCACCATCAAGGTAAATATGTTGAGCCCTGCATGTGCGCTCTCGCCCTCGCCACCATCAAGGTGTGGTTGTGACGCCTTTTGAGACGTCCCAAAAGTCCTCTGCTCATGCGGATTCTATATCGATTGAGCAGTGCATGCCTCTGGACGCGCTCTCGCATGACGACTGCATGCGCGCGCTCGCCACCATCAAGGTGAGTCCAATGGAGCCCCGGGTCGGAGCCGTTGTGTCAATACGCTCCGAACTTGAAGGATTGTCACGCCCTCGCCCTTGCCCTCGCCACCATCAAGGTGTGACGGGAACTCGGCGCGCCTTGAGTGTGGCGGGAAATTGGCAGTGTTGCAACAGCAAGCTTGTGCAACTGCTGTGTTTCCACCTAGCCACAGCCATCACCCTCACTTCCGTAATTCAAACCATTCCACCGCTGCCCTTGTCATCCTTCCTCGTCCTCCCAACGGCTGTCAACGGCAGTCCTAAGGAGGAGGGTTTGCGGTGGAAAGGGTGGGGGCGCCACATGCGGTGCCACTCTCCTGCCTGTACCCCGCCTCCTTCACCTCAAGCCCCTGTGCTTCCTCCCTCGTCTCCCTTGCCATCGGCAGTCCCTAGGAGGAGGGTTTGCGGTGGAGAAGGTGGGGGCGGCACACGTGGTGCCCTTTGTGAGTCATCTAAAGAATCCTTCCTTACCCTCCCAATAAACTGGCGTCATCGGCAGTCCCTAGGAGGAGGGTTTGCGGTGGAGAAGGTGGGGGCGGCACACGTGGTGCGCTCGCTGCCTCGGGAGCTCAGCACCGACCAGAACGACATCCTCCGCCTCGCACAGGTGACGTGGCGCAGGTCACTTGGAGCAGGTGACGTGGCGCAGTTGACGTGGAGTAGGTGATGTGGCGCAGGTGACGTGGCTCATGTGATGTGACACAGGTGAATATGCTTAAAATGCCAGACTCGGTTGTCTAGGTTTGATTCCGGTGAATGCGTTCAGTTGAATGGCCTCAGGTGATGAGCTTCAGGTGTATCGGTGTGGTGAATCTCCTCGGATGAGCCTGCTGTTGTGTGGTTGGAGTGTTGGTTTGTTGACTTGCAGGGTTGCTGAGTTGTTTACTTGTTGACTTCTGTACTTGGGTCATTGCAGTCCGTATATCGTGGGTCGGAGAATCACTCCCTTGCGTGTGCATGCCTGCCTCCTCCCCTGCCCTCCTTCTGACAGGCGTGTGGGTGTGTGAGCATCGCTGACATTCTCTCGGCCACCTCATGGCAGCCCGGCCGAATCAACGACGCTCTTGATGCTCTGCTCAAGGTGACCGCATTTTGTGAATGGCACTAGCACAAGCGCAGTATGGCTCTGTATGTAGCACTAGCTACTTCATACAGAGCGATTGAGTGAGAATGCGAGACATTGGTAGCTAGCTGTCTGTTGTGTGTTGTGATCAACTTTTGATGAACTTAATCAGCACCTAGTAGCTGATCAACCAAATCCTCTGTAGCACCATGGCTGTGCACTGTAGCACCATGGCTGTGCACTGTAGCACCATCCGCACTTGCACATGTGCTACTAGCTCTCGTTTTCTCAGTCGCTCCCTTTTCCCTCCGCCTCTTTTCGTCTTCCCTTTTTCCCTCTCCGCATTTTCTCCCCATTCACCTCCCCATTCACTCCCCATTCACTCCCCATTCTCTTCCCATGCTCTTCTCATGCTCTCCCCCCATGCAGGAGGGCATAGCCATGGTGGACGATGGCGATCCTGATGGCCACCGGCGCTACTGGTTTCCATGCTTTGACATTGCCGCTCCAGCATCGCTATAGAATCAACAGGGCTTGCGGTTGGCATTCCCTGCTTGCGTAACAACACGGAGCGGAGGGCCCTGTACAGTGTACACTGAATACCACACTGACCAGTTCTGGGCAATCTAAATGTGAATGCTGAGATACCTGCAAGGTCTCCATGACGTTAGATGCTGCCAACGTTATATTTCTGAGATGAGATACTTTAGATGCGATATCTTCCATGAAGTTTACATTGTTGTGTGAATTACTATTATGTGAACCAAGGCTGCTGTTTCATAATAGCTTATGCCTAACAACCTGACAGCATGAGCAGCATGCATGTGCTTTGAACTACATTTGTAAGGATGAAAGAACACAGTATCGATATCCGATCATCGTGGAGGGACTAACAGGTTTCGTGATTCGATACAAGTACATTGGGCGAGTGCAATGGATGTCCTCCCCTCCACCAGCTGTCACCCCTGATGCTTCGCACCAAAGCGTTGAACTTGTGGCGTGGCAGTGTCATCGTCGCAGGAGCTGCTATCGTGCAATCGGGATTGGTGAGCGCGCATCATCACCGACACTTTGGTTTTCTCTTTCTCGCTGGCGACGAAAACCACAAGGGAGTGGTGAGGAGGCAAGCTCAAGCGGCCAATTACAGGCGAGATTCGGGTCGTTATCACCGTCAACTCTCTTTCTCCCGTCGCCGTGACTCCCCTCGCCAAAAGGTTGTGCCGACGGGCGACGAAGTGGAAGCATCGAAGAAACTTTCCGCGTCGTGCTGGGAAAACGCCTGCATGTGCGACTCTCGCCAGAGATGATGGGAAGGGGGGTCCCATCCCATCGTGGTGGACGGGTTCATTGCTCAGGGGGGAAGGGGGTGTGTTGCTGACGATGACGAACAAGTCATCACGAGCCACTCGATGAAAACGGATAATTGCAATTGCGTAGTTCTGCTTCGGTAAAATTGGGTTCACCTGGGTCAAATTGGGAAATGATTGGAGAAAAGGGATCAAGCAAGGGAAATGGAGGAGCACATGCGTGGGTTGGAAGACGCGGCTTGACTGCCGCCGAGAAAAGTCCGTGGCGAGGCAGGCGACGCGGTCGACGCGGAACCTTCGGAGCTCAAACGCATGAAGTATGATCCTCGCTGGCTTGTGAGCATATTCAGCTTTGACAGCAGCGCTAGCTCGCTTGCTCTTAGGTTTGAAAAGCTCATTGACTTTGCAGCGAGTCGACGACTTGACGAAGCACGCCTGAAGTAAACTGTCTTCTCAATTTAGCCCCGTTTTCTCTAAGGGTCCAATCAAGGATTTTTCTCGTTCTCTTACTCCAGCACCCACTCTCTCATCGCCCAGGCCCCTGCAGCAATCTAATATTTTCCAGTCATTCATTGCTGGCCAATAGTCTGAAGACCAGTTTGTCTGTCCGTAAACGAGCATGGGTCTCTTTAGCGGCTTCGTTTCGAGGTCCTCAGGCTACCATCCAGCGTCCATTCTCGAGCACGAGTTCGACTTCTCGGGCGCCATAGGCCAGGGGCAGTTCGGCACGGTCTGGCGCTGCTCGTCGCGCGCGACGAACCAATCCTTCGCCTGCAAGCAGATCCACAAGTCGCAGTTCTTGTCGCACGGCGACAGCATGCGACAGGTGTCGCGCGAAATCGAGGCGATGCAGAGGTTACAGGGCCACGCGAACGTCGTCGATCTGCACAGCGTCTACGAGAACGACGCCTTTATCTTCCTCCTCATGGAACTCTGTCCCGACGGCGACCTCTTTAAACTCATCTCCGAGCGAAACGGGCTGCCGGAGACCGAGGCGCGCTACGTCTTTAAGAAGGTCGGTCTGGCCGTGCAGCACTGCCACCGCAACGGTATCGTCCATCGTGACATCAAGCCGGAAAACATCCTCCTCCGCGATTCGTCCCCTCCTTCATCCACCGCCCAACAATCCCTGGACGGGCCAATTTGTCCGCTTCCGCACGCTCACGACGCCGGTTCTTCCGCGGCGCTCGCCTGTGGCTGCGCGCCTAGCCGCGAGTGGGAAGTGAAGCTCGCCGATTTCGGCCTCTCGAGGCGTCTCGACGAGGGGTCCCGCGTGCGAGGCCGCGTCGGAAGTTACCCGTACGAGGCTCCCGAGGTGGTCGCATCTGAACCGTACGATTGGTCTGCTGACGTGTGGAGCCTCGGGGTGTTGCTGTACACTATGCTTGCTGCCAGCTGGCCGGAATTTAAGGACGGGCGGCGCGCGCTGAATGAGGACGTTGATTGGTCGAGCCCGAGTTGGCGATTGGTCAGCGACCCGGCGAAGAACCTGATTCGTCGCTTGCTGACGGTGTCGCCCTGCGACCGACCCACGATCGACGAGGTCATGTGCGACGCGTGGCTGAGCGACGAGTCGTGTGTGAACGTGCTCTGCCCCGCGGCGTGCGACGGTCTGCTTGAGCAAAACGCACAGAATGTATGCGGCGACGGGAAGGACATCGCACCGCAGTGCTTGAAAGAATTTATGGCGGTTCGCTCAAGCCCGTCGTTGTCCACGTGGCTTTCAGTCGGTCTGACGTCAGCGCCGTCACTGTCGTTGTCTATATCCTGCTCCTCCGCTTCTTCAAGCAAGCAGGTTCCGTTCTGTGAGAGCCTCAGCAGCGATAGCAGCAGCAGCAGCAGCAGCCACGGCAGTGACGGAAGTAGCAGCGAGAGCAACGGAAACACTGGCAGTGGGAAGGGGCCGCACAATGTGCGCCAGGGTTGGGGTAAGGCAGCTGAATGGGGATTCGGTGCGCAAAGCAGCAGCAGCGACGGCGAGGAGCAAGTTGAGTTGAACCCGCAAGCGCAGGAGGAGGCGGTGAGGAGAAGAGAATGCTGTGAGCAGGGAGACAGTACATGCCGCCAGTGCAGCGGAAGTGGTAGTGGTGGAAGGGACAGTGGCAGCAGTTCTGATTGGTGGCAGAGGTCCAGGTTGGCTGCTGTGGCGGCATGGGCTGTGAAGAACGTTTGGGGAACCGCACCTGCTGTTGCGTGCTAGGTAGCGGGTGTTCCCTGTGTTCTGGATCAGCTTCGCAGTTTTGGCTCACCTGCATACCCAATAACGGCTGCATCCTTCAGGGACAGAGAGAACACTGATCTGCTAGCGGCCTGTCAGTGGAAATGCTATAACTTTAGGCCCATGGGTTTGGGGCTCCTGTATAGCTTCAATGCATTTAGCTCGGCACCTAGAGCAGACAGAGCAGCCAGTCTCAGAACTGTGCACTCTTGCAGTGGCAGTTCTGTGACTTACTGCTGCACACCAATGTAGATTTTGTGCTCAGCCTTGTGTATTATAGTTGAAAACTGTAGGGTTGGATGAATATGTTTATTAGTTTGTTTTGGGGTTGTATCCCAGGATAACCGTATCTGCAGTAATCAACCTCTCGCTCTTCTCTCGGTCGCATCAAATTGCCCCTTTCTGACAAGATATCCCTGGTTCATATTCCACTCCACCTTGAATGAAACACTTGAGCTGCACTGGGTATCATCACATTACCGGCAATCAACCAGTGCAGCCTCGAAATACCTGCTCACTCTTGCACGGACAAAAAGAGTGGAATGACGCTCTGACCATTGGGAAACGATCGGCTGCTCAACCCCCTCTCGGCTGTCGCACATCCCAAACGAATTCAACACCCTCTTCAGGTTCTTGCTAACCTACCTTACCCGGTGTGAAGAAAGACAGAATTGGAGTTTTAATGGAGGAAGGCACGAACCTTCAGCATCGAGCGGTCCCGTAAAGCTAAACACGGAGAATTACCGCGTGGAGCGGAGCACTGAGAAGTATCTAAACCGCTTCTGCCTTCTGATAACGTGGTTGTGGATACGAGCGCTGCATCCTCTGAGACTGGCGTGCTCGCCGTGATGAAGTCCTATGTCAAATGTTGAACATTGATATGATAGGCTATAGTGAGTTGCACTCTAGGGGGTACAGCTTCTAGGGTTGCTCATTTGTACCCCATTCGTTTCTATTCCAATCATTCCGTTGTTCGCTAACTTTGAGATGGTATCATGAGTAGGTGTTGATCCTCTCGCCTAGCCTAGCCTAGCTCGCGCCCTAGCGCCCTCCGCGCCCTTGCGCCCTAGCACACTCCGCGCCCTCCGCGCCCTCCGCGCCCTTGCGCCCTAGCACCCTCCGCGCCCTCCGCGCCCTCCGCGCCCTCCGCGCCATCTCCGCGCCTTAGCGCCCTCCTCCTCCGCGCGTTAGCGCCCTCCGCGCCCCTAGCCTGCGCCCCTAGCCCGTCGCCCAGGCCCACGCCCTAGCCCGTCGCCCAGGCGCCCGCCCTAGCCCGTCGCCCAGGCGCCCGCCCTAGCCCGTCGCCCAGGCGCCCGCCCTAGCCCGTCGCCCAGGCGCCCGCCCTAGCCCGTCGCCCAGGCGCCCGCCCTAGCCCGTCGCCCAGGCGCCCACCCCAGCCCGTCGCCCAGGCGCCCGCCCCAGCCCGTCGCCCAGGCGCCCGCCCTAGCCCGTCGCCCAGGCGCCCGCCCCAGCCCGTCGCCCAGGCGCCCGTCCTAGCCCGTCGCCCAGGCCTGCGCCCTAGCCCGTCGCCCAGGCGCCCGTCCTAGCCCGTCGCCCAGGCGCCCGTCCTAGCCCGTCGCCCAGGCGCCCTCCCTGGCTCGTCACCCCAGCCCCGCAGGCAGCGCGCCCCGGGGTGCTTTAGTGCCAGAAAATAAATAAATAAATTAAACCCTAAAAAAAAAAAAGGGGTTCACAGTGGGGGCCTGCGACTGTCGCCCGCGTTCCTGCTTGCCGGACGACCTGCACAGTTGCCTACATCCCGCAGCCGTCAGTACTGCAGCCCCTACTGTCGCACGTACTTTCCACTGCCAGTGGCTCTACTAGCGGCAGCCGACAGCCGCACTTACGGTCTCTGCCCCGGCCGTTCCTACCTCCTCGCCGCTTCTAGCTCCAGCCGTTCTCGCTCCAGCCGTTCTCGCTCCTCGCTCGTAGCTCAGTTTGCTCCGTGCTCCGGCCGTTCCTCGCCTAGTTTCACCTGGCGCTTCTAGCTCAGTTTG